ACTGTTTGGAAAATACTAAAAATCGAGAAAACGAATGCACGGCTGAAGTGGCATGTGGAGAAAAACAAACAAAAACACCCACACACAAAGAATGTTACTAACCCTGTCTCAGATTGGTTTGTCGGTTCGGTTGTTTTCAACAAAAGGTTTTCATCACCTGAGCGTCACGCTTTCCTAGCAAAGAGATCAATCCATTCCATCACAGTTGTCTGTTTTGTTTATTGCTACAGAAAACTATATTTTAGGATTGAACATTTTGATGCGGATTGTTGTCCATATTAAAATATGTAATATTTTTAAGATTTAGTACAGTACACTGACCCTGTATAACATCTATCTATAATATTAACATCTATATTATTATAAGAATTTGTTGGATTTTTGCATTCAGTAAATCGACTCATAAATATTTATTTTTAAAGTCATGTTGAGTATCAGTTTAAAGCTCTTATCCTATAGATGTACCTTTTGCGGGTTTGGATGATATCTCGTGAAAGCCCTTCGTCCCATACACGATTATGTATACGTGATCCTATATACTTTTAAATTATCAGAGTTTGTGCTGAATTAATGTATGTTAAATATTGTAATGTTATTTATATAAAATGTAAAGAAAAAAATTACTTGCGTTAGATTTTGTGTTTTGATAGGATTTTAAATAGAAAATTGTAAATTAATTCAAATAAATCACGGATTTTAAAGTTGCGAAGTGACGCTTGCTGCTAGTTTTATTAATTAGTTTTTTCTATTTTTTCAACACTTTTTAGTTTTATCATCAAAATACAGTAGTTAAATAGTAGTTGTTAAGTACAGAATTTCACAACATATGATATCGTCGTCGAGGAAAATTCTGTATAAGCTGGTGAGGGACCTTTTGCTAGATAAGTGGGTAAATATTATTTTCAAATTTATTTCATATTTCATATGGATTACGTAATTTTCCCAACAATTTGTACGGGTTTGGATACAATTTTTTCCCCTTATTGATTGATTTTAAAAACTAGAATGGAAACAGTTTGTTACTTCCAATAACATCGTTCGTTAGTCCCAGTTAACATTTTCAGGAACTTAAGAACATATACATTGAGTCAAATTCACAAAGACAATTAAAAATAATAAATACTCGCCCTCAGAAACTTGATTAGACTACTTGTGCAGTGCAGTAGCGGTACAGTTTAGTACAATGTAACATTCACCCAGTACCTACGACAGTAGGACACTGCGGTTATTGCTAAGTGGGGGGGGGGGGGGGGACGTAATGTCTGCCATTCATCTCCCTGCTACAGCTGGAAAATATCTTCCGACGTAAACTTAATATTTGTTTCCTTTTCCTTTTCTTTGTTTCTTCTCTAGAAACAATATGACGGTTTTTACTTTTCATCGTTCAAGGGTCACAATCTTTATTTCTAAACAAACTGTGAATTAAGTAGCTATTTTAAAGACCAGTAATGGTTGGTAGGCAGTTTCAGTGAGAACAACATTACAAAGCATACAATTGGCAAATGGCCTTTAATATATAATTGGAATTTAGTTTTTGGTAACTGGATTTAGTAAAATGGCATATTATAATTATTAATATGTAAATTCGTTCTGATTTAGATTTTGTAGATCAGTGTATAAGTAATGTAAGCCCCACTTGTTATCTATATGCTCTTTCTTAATAAGATGGACTTTATAGCAGCAAGAAGTGTTTCATTCAGCATACTCGCATTAAGACATAAAATAATGTATATAGAATTTGCCACTCATGATTAACTGGATGTTACAACAATTCAGAATTTATAAACAAATATGAGATTTTACTATTTCAAATATTGCTTTTTCGAATAATCAGTATGTTTGAATAGTTTAGAAGAAATTCAATTAACATTTTGATTAATAACATCAAGTGAAGACATGATAGAGATGAATGTTGTTGTCAGCGTCAGCTATACAGGCTTGTTGTGTAATGTATAGTATAGACAATCAAGATATAATCAACCCCACAATGAACACTCCGAGCGCTCCTGGCGGCAAACTCAACAGTCCTGTCGTACACAGACAATTTTGAGCTATTCAATTCACCTGACTGCGGTAATGGGTTGTGGTGATGTTTACCTCTTAAAATACTCAACTTTGGACAAAGAAATGGTCTAAACCGACATTTTGGACACTTAAATTACAAAAAGTTTTATAATTTAACTGAAACCCCCCCCCCCCCCAGACATGTGACTGTTCTAGATGTCACTGCTTATTCCATCCCAAGTGGAATGGATGTAGGGAGGGAATCCTCTTCCACAAGGTGACCTGAAATGGTATAATGGTGGTTCCAAGGTAAAGTGGTGGGACAGGGGCTGCAATTTACAGAGGGCAGAGTGGGGTGGACTTGTGTCTTCCCACGAGTGCATCCAACAGTGTTCCAAGTCGAGAAAACTGTGATGTTGGAGTGTGCTAGGGAGAACCTAAAGCAGGGCTTCAGGGGCATGAACATTTCCATTTTAAGGGATAGCCAGGTTGTGCTTAAGAAGGCACTCCTACGAGTCCAAGGTGGTCTGGAACTCCTCACAACAGTATCTGCCCTGGAAAGATGTGAAACGGTGACACTCAGCCTCAGACTTTGTGGGACCACAACATTTCTGTGGAATCTCTCGGAGGTATGCACGTGAGTCAATCATGTCATTAGCTTGGGAGGGGCACAGAATAAGGTGGGTTATGCTTCAAAATCACCCGGTAAACAAAACCCTCTCTCTTCTCCCCTTCCCAGATAGTCACCTACAATGTTCTACGATTTGATAGGAGCCAACTAAGACGGATCACAGGAGTGGTCACGGCTATGGCTTCCTAAGATCCCACCTACATTGCTTGGGGATTTTCAGTGGAGACACTGCATATAGGAAATGTGGGCAGACCGAGGACACTGCAGATTATCTACCCTATGACGATAGAACTTTGAATGAAGTAAGGGAAAGCACTCTTGAAACCTTTGGAAGACCTTAAAAAGTTGAGATGCCATTTCAAAAGTTCAAATTCAAATATATTTAATTAAGATATTACAAGCATTTTTTTTAAATTTTGATTTTTAATGGGGATTTGCTTATAAAAACCCATAAAATAATGGAAAACGATTTTGATAAAACTTGAGTATGTTATAGTCCTTTAAATTCTGAACAAAATGGCACAAATTTCATTTCTGTAAAAATTACGGTTCAAAAGTTATTGTAACTTTTGTTATTTGTCCGCAAAAATTATACAACAAAAAATGGGATTATAGAAAAAAGCAGGTTTTTTTATTAAAATTAGTATGTTGTGATCCTTTAAATTCTCGACACAAATCCCATTTCCGTACAAATTACGGTTCAAAAGTGATTGTAACTTTTGTGATTTTTCTCTATAAAATATCATAGTTGCTCCCACCGTGTACAGTTCAGCCGTCTATCTGTGCGCGCGAGCCCTTCGCTACTATCCTTGCAGAAAACCTACGGTAGGGGCGACTGAGGGCATTGTTCGCTCATTTCCACCAACCCAATAGTAATTCACAACTAATTTTGCACTCGAACTTCATTCATATTCACCTTTAATATGCACTTTAGAAGGGCTTTGGTACCTCATAAAAATATTTTAATTTTACTAAAACTGTGCTGCCTTGTTATTCCATGTTTGTATAGCTAAAGGTCAAGTTAATAAGAATAACAAAAGAGTTTTTATAAATTATTTAATATGGTAAATATTACGGATTCACCATAACATGACCAATTTTAACACTGCTCTAGAATATATTTTCAAACATCATAGCGATTGGTGTGTTGTTAATAAACACAAACTTGTGCTGGGTTATTCCTTTTTTCAACATTTTAATAAGGTAATATCCTTATTGACATCGTTAAAACTAACAATTGAGAAAATATGTAATGTGAATAGTTTACCGTTTATTGTTGCTGTAAAAACCGCATAATATGTCCAATTGGAATGTAACAAAAACAGAAATGATTGCTATGTCACTGTTAATAATATAGGACCATGACCTCGTATTTCCTAAGTAAAATTTACATAATTCAAAATTGTACTAGGTCGTACACGGAAGCGTCACTAACAAAATTACACCTTCAGGCCAGTTTGGGCTGCCTCAACTTCCCGTTGCCGTTTTGGGGTAACCAATGTTTTTAGAAAAGAGCCCCCTCCCACCCTCCCGCCATGCAACCTGACCACCGGCCCGCGCGCACAGATAGACGGCTGAACTGTACCCATGGATAAAAGGAGGTTGACCAGCTTATGGGAGAAAGTAAGTGTCAGATTGCTGATATCGTTTATTTTTACTACATAGGATCCTACATTATATACTCAATAATTATTGATAAATTTTCAACGATGAAAAATTGTTGTTGAGATGATATCTGGATACTATCTGCGAGGTATAGCTACAGTTTTTACAGTTAACTTAAGTAAAAGCCAACTAAATCCTTGCAATATAAGTCTTCCAGAAATATATTTTGTAAACTTTGGTAAAAAATTACATTTCTTATCATATTTTCACAAATGGCAAGTCCAGTTCAGCTCAGATCCCTGAAAGCGGCAACGTTGATTGATGTGCCGGAAACAAATTTACTCTCTGTCTACATTTAGCTTGCCAATTTCAATTGTACCTTACACCAAACCTTGTACCAGTACAGCAGTAATTCAATAGCATAGTCTGTGATTCCATTATTTATTACCAAAATTATATGGTTTTTATAGAAAAATGTTATATGGGAATCACCAGTAGCCTATACAATCTTGGTTAAACATAAAAGTTGTACGTTTCTCTTAGTGGCCTCCAAAATGTACAATACCGGTACTGTATGTCTGATTCTATATGTTATCATATTTGGTTTAAAACATATTTTATAAAGTGATCAATATAAATAGTGTCAATGACTAAATAAATTAATTTCCCTGCTAACTTTACATAAAAGAGAAACATTTCTGTCAAATCCATTATACCATGTGATATAAAACTAATAATAATAATGGTTATGATTGTAAATTATTAAATTTGTAAAAACATGAGGTTAACTGGATATTTTAAATGTTTGGTTTCAAATTGCAAATCTTTATAAAATCATTAAGATTATTAATTCATAGACTTAAAACTAAAATACTGCAAGGAAATTACGATTAGCTGCCTTATTTCGTAAGTTATACTCTTAGATTTAATTTTAAATTCTACAAAGAGTAAGTAAATTTGCAAAATTTTGGAAGAAGTCAAAACCAGTAAATTTATTTTTTATAACAAGAACAAGGCAGAAATATGCACTGCATTTAGCACTTTTGAAATTGTAATGTAAATATATTGTTTTTGTATCAATTAAGAACAGAATAAAACTCATTTATAGAGTACAAAATCCTCCTGCCCAAATTTTATTTGAGTTGGTTTGTAATTTAAATGTAGGATTGCATCCTTTATTACAGTTGGAGTAATTATAATAAACATATTTTTCGTTTCATATATTACGCTAAAAATGAGTTTTAACTACCTAGGTTTTTGTTATGCTGACTACAGGAATAGAATAATTTGCTAAAAAGATTAACAATAATTTTAATAGTTTTAAGTAGATACCTCCCAGTTATAACACATATGCATACATTTAATATAAAATAAAAAGATATTAGGAAATCAAACTTCATTGGTTTAAAGCACAAAAGTTATTGTTTCAATTACTTGTTCATAAATGTGTTTGTATGGATTGAAACAAATGCTCTGATTGATTACAACTTAGAGTGTGTATTTTAAAACTTAAAATGTTTTGGCATACATAACTACAGCATTCTGCTGTTCCAGGTATAACTCCGTTCCCCCAATGAAAACTGAAAACATCAAACTTCTTCTCCACTCCAAAGACCCAAACTCTAATCAGATTAGACTAACTAAGCTTCGAGGGAATTGTGTGTTTTGCTGTCTGCTCCAATTTACATTCTTCTTCCTCTTCTTCGCAGTGTTGATTTTCATTGCGTTTGCAGTGATTGACATAGAACATGAAATGAAGTTAAAACAGAAGGGCACTAAGGACCTGATACAGAACAACACCATACCGGGCTCAGTGCTGTGCAAGTCTGTGACTGCTGACAACATGACCTTGTTGACCCTGGGCTATCTGACTGGGCTCCGAGGTGGAGAGAAGAGTACATTGGAGGCTTTCAACCAGATGTACTACCTCACAGACCGACACCTCACTGATCAGGAGGCCTGCGCTGTAGAAGCTGCCTTGCGACTCTTCCAGGATAAGTCTGTCTTCGTCATAGAAATCGGCAATATTACTAATCAAAGTAACGCTCATACTGACTATCTTCATTACTTGCGGCAGCACTACACCAATCTGAACCAGATCAAATCCACAGCTGATAGATTCTTTAGCGGGTCACCATTTCAAAATTACTTCAAAAACATTGACGAATTTGCTGTATTTTGTGCAAAAGTGCTTCTTGTGTGGCAGTTCGGAGGGACCGTCATAGATCCAAATTTTCTAGTACTTTCTAGGAGAATTTATGACCAAAATGAAGGGTTTTGTGAGGTTGATAGAGATTTACTGTTTTGCCCAAATCAATGTAGTGCATTTGTATATCAGGTGAGTGTAAAAATATTTTATAATTTTTGTATTCATATATTAAACCTACTCGAAGTCGCATGACTATTGGGAAGACCAAGTTGGTACTTTATTATTTTAATTATGTACCATATTTTTTTGTGTTAAAAGCTTTATTCTAAGAATACTGTTACTGTCTGTCTTCCTGCTACTGTATTCCAAATCCACTTTTTTCATTTTTTTTAGATTTTTACTTTCTTTACCATAGTATATGGAGAAAGTTTTGTTTTCGTCAAAATGTTCGAGTTTGAGTGGATATATCCGTTTTGGGCCCCCCTGAAGCCAAAAAAGTGGTTTTGCTTCAAAAACTGTTGGTTGGTACTAATCCATTCCATTGTATCTCCACAGGGTTTTTAAATGGTGATTTACCCATAAAATGATGGAAAAATCTTATTTTCTCGATAATGTCCCGAACGATTTTGATAAAAATTTAGTATGTTATAGTACTTTAAACTCTGAACAAAATGGTACAAATCCCATTAATATTTTTAAACCTTAAATTAATATATATATCTCAGGGCCAAGTTTTATGAAATCCATATAGTAGGCCTAAGTTGGCATCATATCCCTAATAATCCAAAATACTAAATTCACAGTAGATCCTCTGACAAAAGTAGCTAGCAGTTTAAATTTAATTAATAAAATTTGTAATTGTCTTTTTTTCTTTATTCTACCCAAATATAGTTTATCAACTTTATGTATTTTCTACAGGTTGTGAAAACAATACTAGACATGATGAGTGATGAAAACTACAATCAAACTCAAGGTCCAATCAAGGATACGGTACAGAAGATAGTGGACAGATCTGTTGCTGACTATTGTGGAGACGAAGGAGCTGTCAATGTTGGTTGCATTGGAGTCAACAGGTTATTCATAACAATTAATTGTATTTTTATTTTGCTTGTTAATAGCAAGCAGCATTTAAAAATGTTTTCTAATGAGACGGTCCAAGTCAAACTTGGTTGTCAATTTACTATATTTATAGTAAGTTGGTCAATTATAAACCATCAATCTTGTCTTGTAGGGAGGAAAAGCTCAGGCCCACTTTTATAAACGGGCTGACTGGCCACATGCCCAGGGGTGCCAAAGGTTTGGGGGCGCCCACCGGGTGCCCCTCAAGCACCGCCTGTGCCCACACTAGGAAAAATTGGGGCACTGCTTTTGGGTTTGCCCAGGGCTCCACTAACCCTTAACGCGGCCCTGGAAAAGCTTGGTCCTAGACCAGCTGGGTTTAATAATATGAAATCTTTACTTTATCTTATTTCAAGCACATAGGCAAGCCACCAGTGGTTTTCAAAGACAATACATAATGGCCTACATGCCCACTGACTTCTGCTAAACTTAAGCAATAATTCTGAATTGGTGTTATTCCAAACTCGGACATTTCAGAGAAACGTGTTGATCTTATTTTAATATTTAGCTTGCTATTACTATAACAAACAAAAAATTATGGCATCGATTTTTTGAGTCTCTTCTGAGTTCAACTGTGTGGCTGATTTTCCAAGACATTCACATTTTCAATTCAATCCTGCTATATACGGTAATTAAAACAAAATTTGAAAAAAAAAATACTTTGCATCACTCACTATTTGAGGAATAGTTTTAGAAAATGATGTCCATATGCCTGATGGTTAATCTCTTTAGAATTCCTTCAGCTCCATGAAAAAATTCAGTTCTTGTCAGTAAAAGTTTTGAATTTGATTAATAACACTTTAGATTGGTAAAGGTTTTTTGGGGATTTTACTGCGCAGCTCATAAATAATTATATTTTTTTTAGATACATTGTCTGGAAACCTCTGTTTCTTAAAAAAATACTGACAGAATGTTGAGCTCTAGCACCTTAGTAATCAGAACAAAGAATACATGTTTGATCAGTCAGTCCCACGTAGGTACCGGTAGATCACAAATTAATGCCCTACTACTTGTCCATTGTGTTCATGCAACCCACATGAAGAAAGATATTTGGGGAGGCTACACATTAAGTCACTCCAAGCTTTTAAGATTTCCTTATGTGGGATTGGAAAAGGAGCCCTCTTACTTAACAGTAATGCTGATTTTTGCAAACCAAGTGCTTGTTATTTTGTATAATAAGCTAATAATATCTTACGATGGTTTTTCCATTGATTCAATTTAGGTTGTCAGGAACCATTTCTTGAAATATAAATGTTAACATATGTTTTATTTACATTTAATTCTATCATGTGTTCAAATTGTTATGATGTTTACTCGTTGAATAGTTTGTTGTTACATACAGCTTGTGATTTAATCAAACCTATTTCTATTTTCTCTGACAAAATGTGAACTTTTATTAGTAAAATTAGTGGAATTAACATGGCGACCATACATAGTAGGTATTTTAAGCCAAGTATGAATGGAGATGAGTGTAGGATGAATGGTGCGATCTTGTAGTCTTGTTAGTGACTAAGGCCGACATTCCTTAGACACAGCTGTTAATTAATAGCCGATACAGCTAATGGCAACTAAGGGACCTACAGTTTATAGTGGAATCCGAACCAGATTTTTTCCTTGGTATATACGAATTGGTCTAATTATCAGGATAGTACTGCGGATAGTCGTAGTACTCACTCGTGTGGACGTTAATCCACACCAGGGAGTATCACATCCATATTTCATATTTCATTATGGACTGAAATTGAAGCTACACAGTCAAGTATTGAACTTTACGCAAATTCAGTGGAAAATGAATTAGAAATTAGATTGCAGTTAGAAGGGATAAACATTCCTTGAAGCAGAGAAGAAAAAGTATAATACACAAACTGCAATCTCGTTTTGAGAAACTGAGGAACAAATGCTATAGATGTGGTGATGATTCACATAGAGCACATCAATGCAAGCTCAAAAATGTAGAATGCAACTTTTGTAAACGTTTTGGTCACATAGCACAAGTATGCTTAAGAAAACCAAACAAAGAAGTAAACCAATCAGACGAAACAGTAGAAAATACAAGCGATGACACTTATGAAATTTACCAGCTGCATACAAAATCAAATGACAAGTTTATGCTCAAAGTAAAAGTGGAAGGACGACTTATTACAATGGAATTAGATAGAGGAGCGGCTCTCAGTATTGTGTCTTATTTTACATTTAACTTTTGAATTCGCCAAAAAGGATTTTCAAAACAAATGTTTAACTCAGGACTTACACTGGGGAAATAATCAATCCAAGAGGAGTAGTTTTTGTGGATGTTCAGTAAAAAAGATCAAAGTTTTGTTGGGAAACTGTACATTGTAAACAAATGTGTAGATTCTACATTTGGTAGAGAATGGATAAGAGGTATTCAACTTGAAGCAGCTGACATACATACAACTCAAGTGAAGAAAAGGGAAATATTCAAGAACTGGATAAATTGATGATTCAATATGAAGAAATTTTCAAAGAAAGCATTGGAAAAGTACCAAATGAAAAGGGTAGTTTTAATTTCAAAGACAAAACCCAGCCAATCTACATCAAACCGTGACTCATGCTATATGCATTACAAGAAAAAGTAGAGAAGGAACTCGAACGACTGGAGACTTTGGGTATAATCACACAAGTTGAATCGCCAGATTGAGACACACCGATTGTCCCGGTCATCAAACCAAATGGTTCAGTCAGAATATGCGCTGATTACAAGGTGACTTTGAACAAAGTCATCAAAGACGAACATTACCCTATGAATTGATTACCTTGAATTGATGATATCACGTCGAAGATACATCGTGGAAAGATATTTTGTACTCTTGATATCAGTACCAGTAACGCTTTTTTACATATGGAGATGGATGAAGACAGTGCTATCATGTAAACAATCAGTACCCATAAAGGGCTGTTAAATGTGAACAGATTAATGTTCGGAGTAAAAGTGGCACCCTTGTTATGGCAGAGATTCATGGACAAAACATTAATGGCTTAGAAGGTGTACAATGTTTCTTCATTTGATTTAATCGTCCAAGAATCTAACAGGGAACAGCTAAAAAATTAGACTGGGAAAAGATTGAAGAAACTCCGTACTGACAATGGAGGTGAATTTGTGAATAAAGAGCTAGACAATTTTCTCAAAGCTTCTGGAGTACAACATCACACAACTGTTCCATACTCAAAGTATCTAGAAACAAACAAAACAAACAAACAAACAAACAAAAGTATCAAAGTAGAACTTTTTTCTACTTTGTGCCTTATTTACAAAACATAATTAATAAAGAAGTACCGGTATGCAATAAGAAACAAGATTCAAATGGACACATAGAACAGTGGTGCAAAATAATAGTGAATGTAATATAGCCCAGAAATATATGGAAAATTTAATGTTAATTGACTGGTTTACTTTTGTTTTGGTTTGATGTATTTATTAAAAAGATGTATTAATTAGTTTTCCTTGTTCGATCAACATTAAATTTTTCCAATAATGTGTCCATTTGAATCTTGTTTCTTATTGGATACCTACTTCTTTATTAATTATGTTTTGTAAAGGCACAAAGTAGAAAAAAAGTTCTACTTTTTAACTAAACAAAGAAAAAAGGGTTGAAAAAAACATTTAAATATTGATTGTAAAATAATTGCCAAACTAAAATAAGAGTTATTTTTCAGGCAAGTATTGAAAAATTACTTTACTAATGTTTAAACAATTATACGCACAATTCAAGTATGTACGTAACATTAATAATTCTTGCTTATTGTTGTAATATTAAACAGTTGTCATAAATGTTAGTCCATTACAAAAGTTTTGTCCATACAAAAGTTCTTAACCACGTTGACTTGAACCTATTCATGAACTAATTACAAGTAATTAATCCTGATTCCAGACTTAAAGAGGAACAAATCTGTGTGGACCTATATCAAGAGTGTCAATATTTAAGAGTGCAAGAATGGAAATCAAGAAATAGTAATTGGAAATTAATTGTTCAAAAGTTTTGCCCTAAGATAGTGATTAGGCTACAGTCAGGTGCCAATGATCATTTTGTAAAATAATTGTAAATAAATTGTGGCAATTGAAATTAATGTCAAGTTTTGAATCTCTATTAATATTTTAGTTTTGAATAACATTTAAACAATTCTCAACCAGTCGCAATTGTCTAGAAGTTGTACCATGATAATGATGTTGCTAGACTATAACAACTGTAATCCTTCACTTTTATGATTGGGAGCATAGTTTAGATGGAAAAAATACACCCGCCACAGCAAACCTGCAGACCAAGCAAATTTCAATTCGTCAGATTTGATTTTTACTAAAATATTTCCATAAAAAAATATTTATTCCTCATTTAAATAAATATTTTTCACCACACTATGATGTTTTTAGCTGGTTTACATACGTTGATTGGTGGCTGAAAGTTACGTTTTGCTGGCCATGCCAGCTGTCATCGTCATTTGGGGACCAAGCAGGTTTTTACATCCCTAGGGCCGCAAAACCAGCTGCCCGCTTACTTTCTTAAAACATTAATGCATATTAAATACACAATCAGTATCCATAGCATTGCAATAGAATTTTTTTGTCACCGCTGCCTAGCAACTATTTATTATTATTTTTGCTGATTCCTCAAATTATTTTTTCACATAACCTTAAAGTTGTAGTTGTTTTGACTATCAGTGTGCATTATTATTGTGGTGAATAGTGGAGGGTATAGTGTGGTGAAAAATAGCGTTCGTACCACGGACCAAAATGGTTTTGCAGCTCTCGATGTTTTAAGTTCTCGACTTCGTCTTGAACTTAAAAATTATCTCGAGCTGGCAAAACCTCATTTTCGGCCCTAGGTACGAAATTTAATATTTTATTTAGGTTTGCAGTTACAGGAAAGGTAAAAGGTGTTTTCCTACAGTCACCCGACAAAGTTGGCTTTATTGTACTGTTTATAGTACAGAAAGCTGATAATTGCTGCCTATTTATACTTCGTCGTACTGTTTATACTTTGTCGTACGGTTTATACTTTGGCGCACATCGGGATTCCAACGAAACAACACAAAACAGCGGGGTTCTATTATGCACGTAACCCGTGTACGCTTGGAAATAGGTTGGCTACACTTAAACATAATAATACTATGAGCAGCTGATGGACTATTATAACTACGATTTAACCTGTCATTTCGTGTTTATAGTTTCAGGATTTCTGAACTATTCTATTTCTAATCCAAGAATATTAAACACACATCTTGTTTCAACAAACTCTATTTCAAAACTCAACCAATGTTTACAAAAACATGTTTACAAAAATTATCTGTCAACAAAAGATATTTAAACACAAATAAATCATATGACTAAAAGAACAGACTTAATACAACATCCCGCCTCAAGATGTCTACATCTTCATGAAGCTCAGTACCGCCTCGGTATCTTGATGGAACTTCCGTAACGGGTAACTGTGCCAGCGCGTGGACGATCATCAAAGTATTCATCAAAGGCCCGAAGAGCCGTGTCATAAGTATTAGGTTTTGGTGAAAACGAATCGAAAATATCTTCACTTGTACTACCCATTGTAAACAAAAGTACATCGATTTGCCGAGCGTCGGAAGTGCTATCCAGACCGCAACCCCGTCTGTACCTTTGAAAGCGATTCCTCCAGGCATGCCACTCATTCGGAGTAAAAGAGAACGTTTCCGGAGTTGGTAACGTGATATTGACCATCGGAGTAGGAGTACACATAACTGCATTATTTTCTCGGTTCGTATGTCCCAATGCAAAACCTCGTGACTCATCTTTAGTCTTTCTAGAGTCCCTTTCTGAAACGTAATTGAGTTCACTTTGGGCGTCGTCCTCACCGTTGTCCTCATACCTTTGCCTCCCAGTATTTCGTTTATTTCTGCCCTTACTTGACATTATGTGTGGTTTTAGATATTCAGTTCGATAAAAATCCACTAAGCTGCCACCATGTTCTATTTCTAATCCAAGAATATTAAACACACATCCTTGTTTCAACAAACTCTATTTCAAAACTCAACCAATGTTTACAAAAACATGTTTACAAAAATCATCTGTCAACAAAAGATATTTAAACACAAATAAATCATATGACTAAAAGAACAGACTTAATACAACATGAACTTTTCTTTTAAACATTTTTAAAACATTCCTACGATCTTAATAAACAAGAAAATACCTTTAAAGCATTTTTTTTAGGCGCGGAAACCACTTCAAATTACAAAAACAGTTATAATAGTTATAATAGTCAATCAGCTGCTCATAGTATTATTATCTTTAGGTGTTGCCAACCTATTTCCAAGCGTACACGAATTACGTGCATAATAGAACCACGCTGTTTTGTGCTGTTTCGTTGGAATCCTGATGTGCGACAAAGTATAAACCGTACAACAAAGTATAAATATGCAGCAATTAGCCGCTTTCTGTACTATAAACAACTTTGTCGGGTGACTGTAGGAAAATAACTATTTCATGACCACATGTTAATAGCATAGGATTGAATAAATAAATTTGACACATTTTATCAACATAAATCCATAAGCAAGCAAAATATAACAGTTTTCTTTTTCTCCATAAGAATAACATGGGAATCTTACATTTTTTTAATTTTCTCCATAGCGTTCAATTGTACAACAATGCTTCAATATACAAAATTATTTTTTTTTTAAGATCTAGTCTACACGATAATTGTATTTAAAATTGGGCATTTCCTTGTTTTAAGGGTAAATATTTTTAAAACAAATTTTTGAACATTTTAAAACCCCATAATACCCCGTTCTTGGGCCAAGTAAACGTCATCGTATAATTGCGCGATCGTGGCAAATTAATTTAACATTTTCAGCTGTGTAGACACTATCATCGTTTCCTGCTATCGCGGAAAAATCCTGTTCATCTCCAGCGGTTGTTTTGACATTATAGTTGTCTTCTGCGATTGCTGCAAAATCATGAACATCTCCTGCGGCTGTCTAAACATCATCCTAAACTTCCGCGGTCACGGAAAAGTCATATTCGTCTTGCGTGATTGCGGAAATATCACCAACATTTTTCAGCGGTGTGGACATTATAATCGTGTTACACTATCAGGGGAAAATTCTGTTCATCTCCCCCAGCTGTCCAAACAGCATTATCGTCTCCTGCAGTCACGAAAAAAACGTGATCGTCCTCTAGAGCCCATTTGCCCATTCACATAGACTATGGATCTGTGTTTGGAAAGTATCCAGCAAAGCAAGGGGAGAGCCGGTATAGTATAAGGGTGAAGTGTACAGTATTGATAAAAATTAGTGGCAGGTACCAGGATCCGAACCCACGACATTGCTGCCTTGGGCCTAAAGTGCCACCGATTGAGCCAACGACTCACCTACTTAACACTTACACTTACTCACTTTTACAACTACTTCATTTTACATAGAATACCTGGTCGATAAAAAGAGTGAAATATCTAAAGAAAAAATGTCCTTTTAAAGACAAATAAATAAATAACTGTTAATATGTTGTGTTGGGCTGCTACGTTTTTTGTGATCACAGCAATCAATAAGCTGATAAGGAAATGTAAGTTGGTTGCTTGGATCTCAAACTAGATGTGAAGAAATATCAACAAAAATTTTAGATCAGAGTTCTTATGACTTTGAGTAGCTTCACCTTATCTTTATGCAGCGTCTTAAGTTTGGAATTCATGCTTTGAAGTAAGATGTTAACAATTTAAATTTTTGTTTTGGATTCATATCTGCTAATATAAAGTGTTAGTTGAGTTAAGATAGCTTTTATTTGTAAACTAAAATTATGTGACTCTTTCAGGACTAAAATATTAGCTGTCCCATCCAGGTTTGCAGAGAAAGGTAGTGTCGTATAGGAAATTAAGTAACAATCACATACCATGATAACACATAAATCCAAATAAAAATCAATACAAATTCTTTACGAAGTAAAACATTTTCAAATTTGAGGAGTGGCAAAGCTTCCCCAATAGACATTTATGATTTGTATTATGATGCTATAGATATAGTCCTATGATTGCACATGCCCAGTGCAATTATTATGATTCAAACGTATCTTCATAGAAAAGCGAGCCTATAAGAGCTATATAGGGAAGTAGCTATTACCGTAGGTGGCACGGTAAGACCATTGATGTGTCCAGAGGCTAAAAATACCACTCGTAAAAAATACATGTGTGTGTGAACGTGATAACTCTAGTAATTTGGGCCCGATTTTGATCACATTTGAAAATGGCTTGAAAGTGTAGGCTGTTGGTTTAAAGTGTAATATAAACTTGAATGAGTTCGGGTCATGGGAACTGGGTATTATAGGGTTTTGAAATAAAAACCTTAAAATATAAAAATGCCAGATTTTCAATACAACCATTGTCTAGTACTAAAAAAAAACAAATTATTTTGTATATTGAAGTGTTGGCTATAGAAAATTCCAAAAACTGTACATTTAAGATTCCCATGTTATTCTTATGGAGAAAAAAACACTATTGTAGTTTGTTTGCTTAAGGATTATTTCATCATACACAATTACATTTGGAAAATTTTATTCTTAAGTTACTATGCATGCTACTTTAAAAATAGTCCTTAATAAAAAAATACTAACTGAAAAACAAATAGTTAAAAAAATAACAAGGTCACGATACAATTGAGTTTATTGTTATAACGTTTTTAATATAACAGTTGTATTTGCTGTTATAGCCCCATTATTTGCATCGTCATGACAGTGGTGCGCACGCATGTGTCTGTAGTGTGTGGTCACCACTAAGTCACACATGTGCCTCGAGCCTCTCACAGTCACCTCACCAGTGACTGGGACGGAATCGTCCTGTAATCCAGTTTCTTGGAGGTCAGGGATTGTGGATAAAGGCAAGTATTTAAAATACCTACATTCGTACGGTACATTCGTACGCCATTTCAGAATAAATTATTAAAGTACCACGAGCCATGCAAGGCACATGTGGCCGCTTTAGTCTGCAGGTTTGCTGCAGCAGGACTATTATTTTTGTTATTTAAGTCTAAATGTTTTAAAAACTAATCAACTGAAATGAGAGCACGGTTAAATAGTGTAAATCAAGTATAACAGTAAATATTTATTATCATTAATCTTACTATAGCTCGGCCGCTTAGAAAGCGACCTGCGTGCTAATGCTAACCAAAGCTAGGAGGAGGTCGCTTTCTAAGCGGCCGAACTATAGCATCTCTGCTATGTGCCTCATCACAATATTGTAATTATAGCACAGTAGGCATCAAATGCAATCCTAGTATTACTGTATTACCTGCTAACTAGCAAATATTTAACACCGTCTTATAATCCTTAAGGGTATGCAAATTTAAGCATTGTATGGAATATATTAGATTGGATTGATAAATAATAACACAAATTACTCTAATCGCCTTTTGTATGAACGCAACTGGTCATGGTCGTACAATGTATGTATTTTACTGTACATGAATCTGAAGAAAAACAACAGGTTATCATACTTGCCATTGTAAAAATAATTACATTCACTTTTTCTTTTGTTTGGATTTTGGGATTCTTCCTTTCCCTCACTGTGACTGTCTGTTAAGTTATTGGCTTGATCACAGTTCGTCCTACTTGATATAACTTCAGAACTACTTGCAGGGCCAGGTATTGTTCCTTCTCCTTTACTATCCTCACACCTAGCAAGCTGTTGATCGGTGTTGTTGATCGGGTTTGTTTCTAGGTCCACGCTATGTTGGACTATTCTGTGATCTAGTTGCCACTGTGCTTCGTCCAGCTCTACCATAAACTGATGAATGGCTTCAATTGTTGCTAGATACCAACGAGGACTGTCTGCTTGATGTCTCCAAAACTGGGACAATCTGCTTCTTAAAACCACACTCGGCAACGCTGAAAACAAATGAGAGGAAGACTGTTACAATCACAACACCAATATGAACCAACATATAACTTAAACAATATATGAATAATGTAAAATGTAAAAGTTGACCTTTTGAATACCAACGGAAATGAAAAAGAGTTAATCTGTTTGATAAAAAAGTAAAATATTACAAAAATACTATACTATTAGTGGCTTGTACGGACATCTATATAAATAAAATTAGAGTTTTGTCTGTACATTGGTCAGAATTATATATTTTTAGGTTATTTTTACGTTTTAAAAGCATCCCATTGACCAAACTTAACGCTAGATTTTTATCTGATCAACATAAAAAACTACTGTTAGCCTAGTGTAAGATTATGTGGTGGTATTCATCCCAAGGGTGCGATTAATGACTTTACATATTCTACCCAAAAGGGCCTAATCATCGGCTGATTCCTACCTATTTTGCGACTGGTTAGGGTTCCATTTCCCATTTAATTATCGAAACCAATCACAAAATTACTTTTCATCATCAATGAATCACCTTGTAACTATGTATAACAAACTACGTGTCCTGTTTCTTTTATAAAGACCAATAGAAATAGCCTAAATATTCTTATTCTTTTTTTTTGGAATTGAACATAATAATCACGCCATCTTGTTAAACATTGGAAAATAAATAATCATTCAACAGTTTATAATTTAGACTACATTAAAATTTTACACTTAAAAAAAATTACTTATAAATAAAATTATTTAATAAATTGAGTAATAGAAATAAACCGAGAGCTAAGAACGAGTGTAATTCAATCAGACCTGTAGACAAAACCAGTGCACAAGTTGGATCATTTGTTCACAAACAGCGATTGACAAACAAACATCTTAACTGGGTTCACTGCTACCAACCTAACAAACCATAATTAGTTCCTTCTTTGTGTTATTGACATGAGAAGATTTATATTTAACTCAACTATTGCCTATATAACTTACTTTTAAAATAGCCTACATTGTAATAGTCCTAAAACTGTGGTATTGAATTGACAATAAATTTACTAGGTGGCGTTCGCAGAGGCATCCACAAAATTGAGCGGAGTCATCAAGGGTTTATATTATATTGTTTTGGTCATACTGAAGTAATACCAGTCGTTTTTAATACATGCGTTGCGGGTCTAAGTAGCATTTTTACTCTTTAGGAAGTAAAAATAGTTTTTATCTTCTATGGAGTAAAAATCAGCTGTTGTGAACTCAGTTGTAAATTACTATTATAAACGATTTCATGTATCGAAATATGTATCGATTCGTGCTTCGTAATTATTTTAACCTACAGTCTACAGTCTCTTCTTATAGTGTTTTAGCATTGCAGATACATTAATCCATTCCCACACATTTAACACGCTCAACTTTAGTACTTAATTCACCAACCCCTACGTCGTGGACCTATTTCCCTCTCTTCCCATAGCATTTTAGGATTGCAGATACATTAATGTAATTGCCAAAGACAGTTCCCACTAGGGGTGTGCGAATAGTGATTTTCAACCTCGAGCCGAGCCGAGCCGAGCTTTTTAAAATATTTTCGAGCTCGAGCTTTTTCGAGCCGAGCTTTTCCTAGCGTCACCTTATAATAATAATAATAATAAATCTTTATTGTCGTTTGGTAATATAAACATTACAATAGACAAGGTCAACATGTTTTGTTACATATGTTAAATAAAATATTAAATATTCTACAGAAAATGTTAAAATAAAGTTAAAAGGATAAAGCATCAGTAATAATAAAAACTTTAAAATTAACAGGGAAAAGACCATAACAAGAACAAAGAATCATCAAGACTGCTTGGCCTCACATTTAAGCGTTAAAAAATCTTCATTCTGCAAAAACTCATCAACTGAATAAAAAGCACGACTTGTAAGCCAATCTGATAATTTTGACCTATACAAATGAATACTTTCCTGATTTCTAAAATATATTGGAAGTTTATTAAATAGTTTTATTTGCAAGTATTTATAACTTTTGATAAATTTTGATAGCCTGGCTTGAGGAATATATAAATCTTTTGATTGTCTGGTGATATACCCATGGATTGAGTTGCAAGGAACAAATTTATTCAGATTCTAAATAAAACAGATTAAACGGAAACTATATTGTAAAAAATGAAAATATTAGAGAGTGTTATGATTTTATTTTCAGCAAAAAATGTTTTGCAACTAAACCTATCTGGAATTTCAAATATAATTCTGAATTCTGAACATTATCAAAAAAATAAATTATTAAACATTTTTCTTCAAAAAGTGCATAATAATAATAATGTTCAGTCAATTTTTAAATAAACACAATATTATTTTAATATGTCTAAAAACATTGAGAATTGTCAAGACATCAAATAGTAGATAATCACGATAAAAACTGAACTGAACTAAATTAAGATGCAAGAAATAAATGGATATGATTGAATGCCTGACGAGATATGCAGTGCAGACTGAGCCAATCAGATTGTCTTTCATAACAGAACAGCGCTATCTTGAATGACAACAAAACAACTAGCAAGTCGATTAAATATGTATATTGTAACTACTATGAATATTTTATTTCATTTTGTATAAATAAATAAATATAAAAACACGTGATTATTCTTGTTGTTTTCCATGCACAAAATATTTTTGTTTTATGAATCGTATTAATCAAAAAGAACATGATTGGTTTGGATCCAAAAAAGTGAAGAGACAAAGTAAAAAGTAAAAATTATATATTAAAAAATATATAATTGACATATAGAGGAAATAGACCAAAACACTAAAATTAATAGAATAACACACAAAGTAAACAAGAAATGAAATAATGAACACGATGATTTAACACTGTCACTAAATTCTGTTATCTAGAAGGGTCGGTGAACTAATCAATAAATAGCCAAAACCAGTTTCCTCCCCCATTTCTCTCTCAGTCTCACCACCTTCCTCCCCCCCCCCTGAGCCGGGAGGCCCAGCACTTTGTCCTTGAAACACCCTAGCCTCTGAAACAATAAACCCTTACACCTGCATTGCTGTTTTGACAACAGGGTTATGAATGCATTCACTATTTTTCATTTTCCAGGATTAACTCTCAATTATTATTATTTGCAAGTTACAAATAGGAAACTACATCACATTATGGTATTCAATGACCCATGTATTATCAAAAATTAATAATCCATTACTTATTTTGATAATAAAAAGCATTCATTACAGCACGCACCACTTATTGATATTTAAATAATCATCAAAGTAACTGTTACTTTATACAAAATAAAATAGGTACAACATTGTGTGGCCAGTCAAACTTTATAAACAAACATTTTATTCTATAAAATACAGATGGTAAATAGGGGTTGGTTTAAAGGAAATAAAATACAAAACAGATAATTAATTATTTTGATAAACATTAGAAAGGTTATGGGATTGATTGAACTAAAATAACCGCAGGGAAACTTATAAGTAGAAAAGTCGTCAACCACAATCTGTTTAATCAGTACATTGTTAGAGAGAGCAGAGAGAGAAAGAGAGATAGCAGATAGGGGCGTTTGATAAGGAATCTGAAAAAGTAAACAAACAAGGAACAACGACACGAGACACGACGATTGATACTTGTTTACAGCCTTATTGTGTCGCCCACTACATTTGCACACGTGACCACTTTTTGTTTCTTCCTTATCTTTCATCCGTTCCAAAATAGAATTCCTGAAATTGTTTGTTGGTATAATCTCCCCTCCCACACAAGGCGCAGTGCTCAGTGCGCACTGTAGGTTGTCACGGCAACCGTGTGTCGTCATAGCGACGAGCCAATCACGCACTCGCACTGCGTTGTATATTACGATACGAATAGCTGTGTTAGAAAGAAAACGCGATAGGTGGTAGTTTGTCTCTTTACTATCTCCTCAAAATTACGATCGATAATCATTGCGTCTTGACTGAGCTGAGGTTCGTGCTTATCAAACCTCGAATGATTGAACAACGTAGAATTGTGATAACATTGTTTCCAATTACGACCCAAATTAAGTGTTTTTTTAAGTTTTGACTTAGTATTAAAAGCTCGGCTCGAACTTCGAGCTTTTTCAAAATGCCTCGAGCCGAGATGAATAATGAAAAGCTCGACCAAAAAGCTCGAAGGTTCGAGTACTCGCACACCCCTAGTTCCCACACTCTGCACTGCAAGCCTTACTACTTACCTCACCATTTCCTACGTCATAGACTTGTTTCCTTCCCTTCTCATGGCATTTTTGGATTAAAGATACATCAATCTAACTGCCATAGACGGTTTTCCCACTATGCTCATACTTTACTACTTTTTAAGCCATTTCCTACATCGTGGACCTGTTTTCATCACTTTCCATAGCAATTTAGTATTTTAGATACATTAATATAATTGCCACAAACATTCCCCACACTCCGCACTGCTAGCCTTTACTACTTCTTTCACCATTTTCTATGTCGTTGGGATGCTTCCATCCCTTCTCTTAGCATTTCAGCATTGCAGATACATTAATCTAACCGCTACAAACGGTTTCCAGTTCCCACACTCCACACTGCTCACCTTACTACTTCCTTCACCTCTTCTTACGTCGCGGACATGTTTCCCTCTCTTCCCATAGAATTTTAAGATTGTAGATACCTTAATCTAATCGTCATAAACAGATCCCACTCTCCGGACAGCTCACCTTGACTACTTCCTTCACCACTTCATACGTCTCGGACCTTTTCCCTCCCTTCCCATAGCATTTTAGGATTGCAGATCCCATAATCTAATCGTCATAAACAGTTCCCACACTCCAGACTGCTCGCATTTACTACTTCCTTTACCACTTCCTACGTCACGGACATGTTTACCTCCCTTCCCATAGCATATTAGGATTGCAGATACCTTGATCTAATCGTCATAAACAGTTCCCACACTCCGGACAGCTTTCCTTGACTACTTCCTTTACCACTTCCTACGTCACGGACCTGTTTACCTCCCTTCCCATAGCATTTTAGGATTGCAGGTACATTAATGTAATTGCCAAAGACAGTTCCCACACTCCACACTGCTCACCTTACTACTCCCTTCACCTCTTCTTACGTCGCGGACATGTTTCCCTCTCTTCCCATAGCATTTTATGATTGCAGATACCTTAATTTAATCGTCATAAACAGTTCCTACACTCCGGACTGCTCGCATTTACTACTTCCTTCACCACTTCCTACACCACGGACCTGTTTCCCTCCCTTTCCATAGCATTTTATGATTGCAGATACCTTAATCTAATCGTCAAAAACAGTTCCCACACTCCGGACAGCTCGCCTTGACTACTTCCTTCATCACTTCCTACGTCGCGGACCCGTTTTCCTCCCTTCCCATAGCATTTTATGTTTGTTGATACCTTAATCTAATCGTCATGAACAGTTCCCACATTCCAGACTGCTCGCCTTTACTACTTCCTTCACCACTTCCTACGTCACGGACCTGTTTACCTCCCTTCCCATAGCATTTTAGGATTGCAGATACCTTGATCTAATCATCATAAACAGTTCCCACACTCCAGACAGCTTGCCTTGACTACTTCCTTCACCACTTCCTACGTCGGGGACCTGTTTTCCTCCCTTCCCACAGCATTTTATGATTGCAGATACCTTAGTCTAATTGTCATAAACAGTTCCCACACTCCGGACTGCTCGTCTTTACTACTTCCTTCACCACTTCCTACGTCACGGACCTGTTTTCTTCCCTTCCCATAGCATCATAGGATTGCAAATACCTTAATATAATGGTCATAAGCAGATCCCACACTCCGGACAGCTCGCCTTGACTACTTCCTTCATCACTTCCTACGTCGCGGACCCGTTTTCCTCCCTTCCCTTACAGTTTTTGGAATGCAGATAACTAAATCTAATCGTCATAAACATTTTCCACACTCCAGACTGCTCACCTTTAGTACTTCCTTTAGCACTTCCTACGTCACGGACCTCAAGCTAGTGTCGTCATTTGATTATATTTATGATTCATACCGTTTCTGTTCTAATATCTGTGAAATAATGCTATCAGCTATTTCTTTATCTACTGCATTCAAAAGTCAACAGCTGATCATATGTCTTTGTTTATGTGTCAAATACCGCTTCCATAAGGATAACATTGAAACTTTGAGACCCAGTGGGGCGGATTCCTGAGAGTTATTTTTAACGCCATATAGATGTTGGCACTCACCGATATGGTCTTTATCACCATCCAAAATTTTAAAACGATTGATTCAGTCGTCTAGGAGGAGTTTGCGTATTACGAAATGCATAAAAGTCGACGTATAAGAGCTTCGCTCGCTCCGCTCAACAATACCTTTTTTAGGATTTCTAATGGTAACAAATAACAATAAGGTGTTTATCAGATGAAGTAAGAAGCAAGGAATCTACCTACTATCATAGATAAAACATACTCCTTGTGTTGGTTAGTCTATGCTACTATCTTAGAAAGCATACAATGTGGAGTAAAAATCCTTTACCTGCTGTAAAAATTGTGCTGTATATTCGTCCACTGAATATTTAAAAATTCAATTAAAATATTGAATATAGTTTCCTTTAAATGTATGCAATTTTACCTTTGATTCTAGGATCTTTGAAGATTCCTCGACTTTGATTCCAGGTAGAGTCAATAAACACAACTCGATGAACAATGCAGCCTCTGGAGTCAGGACAGGGACGTTTGTTGACCAGAGGACGGACCTTCCTGCAACAGGAAACAAACTGCACAATCATTCCATGTAGAGTCAACACAACTCGATGAACAATGCAGCCTCTGGAGTCAGGACAGGGACGTTTGTTGACCAGAGGACGGACCTTCCTGCAACAGGAAACAAACTGCACACTCATTCCTTCTACTTTATAGCATACTTACTTTCCCAAATAAATGTATCATACAAAGAAAAAGATAGTATCATTACCATTATTGAATGCAAGTTACTTTCATGTAGATGAGAGTAGTTTTAAAAATAGTGCTATATTTTATTTTGACAAAATTGTTTAATTTTTAAAAAATACACTATTTCTATCTCACAAGTAATTAGTTTCAGTACCTTGAATAATTTGGACCTGTTAGAGAGGGAGAAGGATAGAGAATTAGGCACAACCAAGAAATAAGGGACATGTACCATTCCCCAGACATAGTAGGAAAAGCAAAGAGCAGAAGACTAAGGTGGGCTGGCTATGTATGGAGGAGGGAAGATGGCAGACTTGGAGACAAAACCCAGCAGGAAGACCCTAGAATCAATAGAAGGACCAGGTGGAGAAAGATTGAGAGCAAGGAAAGAAGATTCAGAGAACAGGGAGAGATGGAGGCAACTTGTTGACGAGGCCAAATACCACCTACGGTATCCATGGCCATGGGAGTAAGTAAGTAAGTGAGTAACATTGAATAATTAGTATGTACTAATTTTAAATGGTTTCTAAATGTGAGTGAACCTTAATGTCAATTATATTTTGCTTAACTAATTCAAGACTTTGAATATAAAATAAGATTACCTGAAAAGTTTGCTACACATTTCTTGAACAGATACAGCATCCTTATTGGGAAAAACAAGAACGACCTGAAATTTAACAGTGTATAGTGAGTTTAAGGGTAAATAAAATGTTATTTATTTCGTTACAAAGACACCTACTAATGAAAGTAAGTAGTTTAATGAAAATGCAAGTAAAGGATCATTATTGAATAAATGTGATAATAGCTTTGTTACATACTAATACGAGGTGGTTCTTAAGTCATAGCGATTCTTGTGTCATAGTGAGTTTCAAAGCATCAAACTCTACTGAAATTCCTGAGGATTGAACTGAATTTTTCATTATTAAAAGGTAACTGCAACCATTGCTACCAAGACATGTTTGTTTAAATTATAAAAGCTTCAATATTCTATCCCACACTATTTTTATAAGACAACATTTTTTTCATGTTCTAAATATAGTTAGAGATTAAAGATGTAACGTAGATCACAAGGGCCTAGGTTTTTACGATTTTTGATGAGGATAGCAGAGGAAGTGTTCATATTTATTCCTAACTAAGAATGGCTAATCTTTTAGCCTACTCTACTCACACTACCAACAATAAATTTCTAACCTTAATAACCTTCTTACCTAAATAAAGTTTGTCTTCCACATTCATAATATATTTTGATGATCTTTATTGGTCCCATAATTGATGTAATCGTAACTTATAATTTATTATAATTTATTTAACTTATAATTTATTGCAAGGTGGACAATACCCACCAAATAAAGTCACAAATTGAGTTTATTGGCAATTTTCTAAATATTTGTAATAAACTGTCCACCTTTCAATAATAAATTATAAGTTACAATTACATCAATTATGGGACCATTAAAGTTTATCAAAATATATTATGAATGTGGAAGACAAACCATTAAGATTAAGTCACGTCCTAGAAATTTAATGTTCCGAGTCAAACACGGGCTGTGTATCCACCAAATTGCTGATGGTTCTGCTCAACAGGTGAACTGCAGACAGGGATTACTGGAGGTGAATGTGGCGCACCCCAAGGAGAACCCATCTTGATACCCCCTACAGAGATCTGCAGTATATTCTCTGAAGATCGACATATGTTGATTGCTAGTTGTAATTTATCAACAAACTCAAGTCAGTATTTTCCATAGAGGTATTCTGCTTGCCCTTTGATCATTTGTTATACGAGGGCTATCCAGAAAGTAGATTACGTTTTTGTCTGTATCCGCTAGGGGCGGGGCTAGCGCGACATTCTTGGTGTTAGTTCGTTATGCAGCTCAGTCGGCATCTAGCCGTACTAGTAAGAGGTTTCTGCTGTACTATGTTGAGTTACTGTGACAGTTTAAAATGTCTTGTGTTAATTAAAAATGCCGCAAACTGTAAAGTGCGTGCACAAAAAAAAAAATGAATGGACTCTATGGTTACAGTTTGGTAACCAAGCTTTTCGGTTATGATCTCATGCAACAAACTTCGCGAAATTTGTGGAAAACCCATAGAGAGTTCTGTTATTGTGAACTTTCGAGTTTTATGGACATCGGCATCGACTTTTTCGACAAGCTTGGCAGTCACAATGCTGGGTCTTCCACTTCGCTCTTTGTCGTGAACGTTAGTTCGGCAATTTTTAAATTTGATGACCCACTGACGAACTCCACCTTCAGTAATAATGTTTTCCCCATAAACTTAAAAAAGTTGCTGATAGATTTCTATCGGTTTACTGTTTTTTGCAGTCAAAAACCTTATAAATGCACGCACTTCACAGTTTGCGGCATCTTCAATTCACACAGACATTTTAAACTGTCACAGTAACACAACGGAGTACAGCAGAAACCTCTTACTAGCACGGCTAGATGCCGACTGAGCTGCATAACGAACTAACACCAAGATGGTCGCGCTAGCCCCACCCCTAGCGGATACAGACAAAAACGTAATCTACTTTCTGGATAGCCCTCGTAATTACAATTGTTGCATTTGTGTTCTTTTGAAAATCAATTATTATTCGCAAAATGTAAAGGATCAATGAGATCTCACACGCAGCCCATTGGGGAGCAAATAATTCTGCAAAGTTTTTTCTCTTTGAAACCTTTTTCTAGTTCTTCAAAAGCTTGGTCATAATCAATCACAGCTGGGCTTACTATCATAGGTTGGCGTGGTTATGAGACTAAAAACTGTTGCCTCATTCTTATTTACCTGACAAGCCAAAAAGTCACTAAGGCAGTTCGAGGGCTAATGTCTGTCAAATTCCTTACCAAAAGCAACAGCCACACCTGCTGTCATGATGTAGATCTCTTGATATTGTGTGAGCGATCACAGTTTCTGGGTCATTTCAACATTTCTCAAGGTACTCACTCATATCTGTCTCAACCAGAGCAATGTTGTTAGCATGCTCTAGCTCTTCAGCCAGAGAGGTTGGCTTGAGTCCGTTACTGGATTGTGAGGGAAGTGGTGGGAATTCCTTCAGCGACATTGCAGCAGGTGTTGGCCTTGCAGGTCTCGCTGACACACACTTCTCAACATTAACAGCTGTACATTGCCTCTTGATATTAGCCTGAACACTATTCATAATAGATTCAACAAGTTTTTTTTACCACCATAGTTTAGATGAAGTCCATGACTTGTGAAGCAACTTCTATGCAATTGAGTTATGTCAATATAGGATCTGTATTTCAGAGCAATTTTGTATGTTTTTGTTCATGATGTCAAATTTTTTATTTAATCTGTTGCAATCAGTTAATGTGTTGGGTTTTACTATTTTGGATCTTTACAATACACAAACTCAATTAGACTACATTAATTAACTTTTATGAAGTCTGGAACTCTGACTTACATTTTCTTCTGCTTCGTAATCAGGGATACAGGGATAAGTAAATATCTTCACATCATCCGGAGCCAAAACAGCAGCATGAACAGCAGTGCTCTTGCCATCCATCTCTCGGGCATGCTTGATTATGTCTACCTTTACTGGCAACTGTCAAACATAAAGTACACTTAATATGGAGTTTTAAGATCTCATTTTACTACATTTAATCATCACTGTGATGTATTCTGAATACTTTTGTCAGAAGTTAAGAATGTAGGTATGATGGTAATACTCCAAAAATCCTCCAGTTTAACAGGCCCAGGCATGAAGACCAGCCTACATCCACCTTAAAGATCAAAGTAGAAAAATTATTGATATTTTAACCATCAACAAAAATAATACTCATTTATGAAGCTGCATTAATCACATTTAGTCGAGCAGACTAAGAAATAATACGCTTATAAGATGAATGTATCCTTACCTTCAGGACTGGGACAATGTGCCGAATCTCTGGAACCGCTACATAGCATGTGTAACAGAAATATTTTCGGGACTTCTTGCACACAGAACAAGTGGATCTGTTTTCAATCGAATCCAGTTTTTCCCAATCATCGGATATCTTTAATCCTTTGAAAGGAAAAGCATCAATTTCCAATACAATCTTGCTTTTAGAGGAGAATGACTTGTTATCTTCTGTATTTGACATCTGAAAAAATGTACATTTAATAAAGACAGTACTTCACAACTCCTACAGAACTTAATTGAGTACAATTGAATTGAACTAAACCCATACTGTATATGAGCATTTTCTCTATAATAGACAACCCATCATACAAAAAATTATACTTTTAACGTTCGTCACTTTGCTTTGGTGTGATTTGGGATTCCACGTTTCATAGAAGTCATGAATAGGAAGGCCTACATAATGACTCAGTAGTCTGGAGGTCCTCAGGAAGAAGGTGTGTACAAAGCATACTACAAAATACTGGCAAAAATGCAGAAACAGTACAAAAACCTGTGCTATACATGCTTATTAGCACATTTGAAAACAGTAAGGTGCCATGTAATGAGTATAAGGCATTTCTTGATATTATAGAAGGAGTTTTTGATAACATAAGCACTCCCATTACGGTGTCAAAGCTGGCATCAAGGAATGTGGGAAACACCTGCTTCATTGTTATCCCCATTTTATTACTACCCTGTTGTTATATACATAGCCAACATAGTTGGGAGCAGAAGAGTACACATATTCCAGAGTGGATCTATTAATGAGAGAGGTGTGATCTTAAAGAAGATGCCCACTGTGATACTTGGAGAACTCCCGCTGGTCGTCAGGTTTTTATACTTTTCTTGCTATTAATTTATGTATGGATTCATTCCCTCTTCAGGGATGCACATGGCCTAGACATATATTTCATCAACACTGTAGTAGGCAGCGTGACCTAAAAATGTTTTAAGCAGGTTCTTGAAATTGTTGATAGAAGGCATGATGTACTGAGGCAATTTATTGTAAATTTTTATTATACTATTGATGTGAGGGATTTTGCTTGCAAGGGTGGAATTTACTTGAGTTACATGTGGATTTGTACTTCTGTCATGAGTTAAAAGAAAGATGCTACAATAGTCCAAAATGCTAAAGAGTTTGCTGATGCAGCAAAGAAGCTAATGAAAAACACTAAAATCCATTTGATATTAGATTCTGAGATTACCAGAGATGATTCAGTCTGGATTAAAGCGAAGGAAGTGGATGAGATCTAAAGCACACATTGTCCACTGCAACGGAAGAACTGTGAACCTTTACAATAATAGCTATGAACAGAAAACAGAGCAATCACATGCTAAAGGTAATAGGCCTAGGTACTCAAGTTCCAAAATGAGGAAATCAATTTTTCATTTAGTTTTTAGTGATTCTGAGGGTGAACAAAGTGGTGAATGGTTACAATCAGATGATAATTTTTCTGATGAAAACGTAAATTCTGAGTTGCTAGAAACTCAAGGAAATCAAGTGAAAACTAATGTTCAAGTTGACAATGTAAAGAATGGTACTTTTTAAATAGCAGAATTTAAAGGCACGCAGAAAAATAGGAGTTACAGATACTTATATGTAGCTGAAAGTATAAAGTTGAAGAAGATTGAGAAGTGAGAGTGATGTGTCTAAAGGGTATGAGCAGTACAAGGAAGAAATTTATTCCAGATGAAAATGACAAGCCTTATATTGGATTTGAACAGATATTGAAACTTTTTGACACCCCACATTTAAAAACCACGGGAGAGCGCATATTTTATGAATTTCCACAACCCATAGACATTTTTGAGAAAGTGTGAGGTTTTACAACAAGGACAACTTGGTTAATTTTTTATCTCTGTTGGAAATGGTGTTAGATTTAAATTAAGGTCATATGATTCTTCATTACATGTGATTACAGGCCCGGACTGGCTAGGTCCGCAATCGCGGAGGGCCCCCGGCTCAAGGGGTTCCGAAGGGGCCACTTCTCGCTTAAAAATTACAAAAAATATTGTCCTTTGTTGTAAGTTATCATATGTTCAAAGTGATGCTCTATCATATCAGCTGATTACTCAGCATAAAGACAGCGCAAAAAGAAAGGAAAAGAAGAAAAAGATACTGTACTGGAATCTTTCCGGTAGGGATGTGCCGATTCTCAATGCCACAGATTCTGGAACATTAGTATGTGAATAGAGAATAATCAAGTCAATTTGAGTGTGATCGTCAAGTCAATGACTCTATCGATACCTAGAAGGCGATAGGAATTAAGATTAAATTTTTGGAAGAAAGACTAAAAAAGGAAAAAGAAGCCAGGGAATCCTTTGTATTACAAGTTGAGGAGGATAATGATAAATGTACCGAGCAAAACCCGGACCAACATAAAACATGCAGAAGATGTGTAATATTTGAGGAAGAAATGAAAAAAAAATGCTAGATACAATAAGGACATTGGAGAGCGTTATCTCAATTTTACAAAAAGACAACACGGAAGGGTAAAAAAAGTGTAGAAAAAATTTAATAGCATCTAGCTGTCTGAAATGCTTTCCTCCACTTGACATAAGCAACAACAAACAACAAAATCTCACTACACCTGACTTTGTGCAAACAGTACCACCAACTTATTACAAACTGCAGATATCCAATACTGTTAAAAAACCTGTATCAAATAAATTTCAAGATATTAAATTAGGACAAAAGATGCTCATATGTGCTGACAGTCATGGTCATGACCTAGCGGCTCAAGTCAATAATTACTCAAAATCATTAGATGCTGTGGGTTTTGTTAGACCAGGTGGTTTAGCGGAAGACATTCTAAATTTTAATAATATTGATGGTGAAAACTTGGGACCTGAAGATATCCTCGTTGTTATGTGTGGTTCAAATGATGTGGCATGTAATGAAGCTGAGAGGGCACTCAAGAGTATTGAGGGGACTTTGAAAAAAATACTATGGTCGTAAAATAATTTTAGTAGACTTTCCAATTAGGTATGATTTAAGTTCTTGGTCTTGTTTGAACAAGGAAATAATAAGGTCAAACTTAGAAATTGATGCACTATGTAACTCATACCCCAATGTCTTGCTGGTCAAGCCAAGTATGGCAGGCAGAAACTTATACACTCGTCACGGCATGCATCTGAACCGATTGGGAAAACTTTGGCTTGCAAGAAGAATCTGTGAAGTTTTGAAGGAGAATACTGTGCCAGTCTCGTCTCCGGTCCGGAGGTCAAGCAGAGGCTGTTCACCAGAGTCAACATCAACACCGCAATCCACATCGAGAGATGGTTCCCAACAACTGCACGAGAGACCCAGCTCCGCCCTAGCCACCCCTGCTACAGAGTCCTCTTCGAGCTACAAATCGCCGGCAGTCACAGTCGCACAGGAGATGATTTTTCCGGGAAACTTGTGAAACGGTTACAAACCTCAAATGATTGATTCCATAATACAAAAGAAAAAGCGGAACATGAACATCAACAAAGAAAAGTCAGAGAAGAAATACATTAAAATACAGTACTATGGAAAAATCAACAACGCCATCACCAAAATATTTAATAGAAACAATACGACTGTCGCACATTCCGTAAACAATACACTCCAAAAGTTTTTCCACGCCAAGCCTGTTGCCACAAACAACTATGAAAAATCAGGCATTTATAGAATTAACTGTGACGACTGTCCAAAGTACTACATCGGCCAAACTGGAAGATCTTTCAAACAAAGATTTAAAGAACATATACCTAAAAGATCACAACATCAGCTATCCAGTTATGCCGAACATTTAATATCAGAATCACACAACTACACATCTATTGATAAGAACATGGAAATAGTTGAAGTATTACCAAAAAGTTTTAAACTTGATGTCAAAGAAGAATTCACCATCTACAAAGCTAAAAAACTCGACCCATTCAACATTTTAAATGATCAGACTTCCTTCCAGTCAAATATTATATTTGATACATATATTGACAAGCTACAAATCAAAGAAGTATCAAATAAGAAGAACAAAACAAACTGAAATACAGGTGGCACTGGAGAGATGAAGATGAAGACACCTCATGATTCAGTCAGTTTTATTTAGTCAGTGACAGTGATAAGAGAGTGCTGGCCAGCCTTTACAGTTTTAACCAGTTTTATCACTTTTTATTCAATTTTAATAGTTTGATCAACATGACTAGTTTTTACTATTGTGATTCTGACAGTGTTTTTAAAGAATCTTTTGACATACCACAATGTACATACATACATTGAAGATGTGGTTGCATACAATGACCTGACGATGTTCTAAGGAACGAAACTAGTTGTCATACTAGCAACTGTGGTTGGATAAGGTAATTCTTCCATTTTATCAAATGTTTTGAATGCTATCTCGGGCAATATGCCATTTCTGACCATGAGGTTATTAAGTTCTCAGTTTCCACAGACCCTCCCTATATGAAAGAGGTGTCCTATAGGAAGGTGAATGAAAACAAATTAGATATGTTTGCCAATCATCTGCGTCAATTTGACTGGCAACAACTGTTTAAAATGACCGATACAAATGCCGCTTTTGAATATTTTGTCCATACCCTCTCATCTTTGTACAATTTTTACTGCCCTAGACTCCAAAAACAAATTAAAATGCAAGGTAAAAATAAAAATGGAGGTTCAAAATGGTTTGATGATTCACTTAGGAAGTTAAGAACCTTTGTAAATACACTTAGAGATGTGCTGAAGGCTTCAGCTTACAAAGATAATGTGGAGTTAAGGAATTGCTATACTACTCACAGAAGAATGTATAGGGCAAAAATTAAGGAAGCTAAAATTAGATACAATGATGAGTGTATAAATAAATCTAGTAATAAGTGTGTAGCGGCTTGGAACATTATAAAAAAAGAGGCAGGAAATCATTTTAAATCAGAAGCACCAATACCCCCTATAACACCTGAACAGTTCAATTATAATTATATAGGTATAGGTAAGGAAACGGTTGAATTAAGTCAGACAATAAATATTAATGGGTTAAGTCATGAAGTGTTTTTAACTAAATCTAAGCTGGAGAACTGTAGACGAAAGAAAAAAACAAAACATTGTAAATAGGTACTTTAAGGGCATCAAAATGTGAAGATATTTTTGGATTCTCAAACAAATTAGTGAAACAGGTATCTCCATTTATAATAAAGCCATTAACTTACATAATTAATCTTTGCTTGACATTTTGGTCGTGGTTGTTTGTGTATATCAAATGAAATACGACCAAATAAGTAAAAGAAAAGTAGTTTGATAAAAGAGTTAAATTTTGTGTACATTCATGTAGAAAACAAAAATCAGACTAAATCAAATCATAATTGGTTGCTATGACAACGTCATCAGCTGACGCTACACCAGCCCCCCACGGAGAAAAGGAATCTATACATCATTCTGAAAAGTAACCCGTGGTCGGATTTGTCTTCCAGAACGAGTTGTATAAGACTTCGTAGATGGAGTTTGACAAGATGGTATACTTGCAAGAGTACTTGCGGAGTTTTGAGGTTTCCTCTGCTTGTCCAGTCGGCACCAAACGTTTCGTGGGCTCAGGAATAGGATTTTCATCGGCAACAATATAGGCTGGTTTGACCCTGTCCAAAGATACCTTAGTTTCTTGGCCTCTTACAATGACGGTAATTGTCTTTTCGTCACGGCATATGACCTTCAAGGACCAGAATATGGAGCCTGTAAAGATTTTCTTAAGCTGTCTTGTCGGAGTCAAGTGCTTAGGTTCTTGAACACAAACGACCCTGGTTTAATGTGGCGTGATGCGGGTGTAGGTCTTAGTCGATTCATATGCTTACGCAGCCCTGATACCAATCCTTGTGGCTCATTGCTCTCGTGGGAAGGTATTACGAAAAACTCTCCCGGAAGACGCAATGGTTCTCCATACACCAGTTCAGCCGATGAAGCAGAGATGTCCTCCTTAAAAGCAGATCTTATTCCGAGAAGGACAAAGGGCAGTACTTCAGTCCAGTCTGATTTGCTGTGAGCCATTATAGCAGCTTTCAACTGGCGGTGGAGTCTTTCAATCATACCGTTGGCTTGTGGATGCCAGCTGGTAGTGAACTGGAGCTTTATGCCCAACTGTCCCGCTAGGTCTTTAAACAAAGTCGATGTGAACTGGGATCCGCGATCACATGTCAACTTTTGTGGGCATCCAAATCGAGCTATCCAAGTAGAGACAAACGCTCGAGTAACAGATTCGGCAGTTATTTGATCAATAGGACAAATTTCAGGCCAACGAGTAAATCTATCTATGACAGTTAGACAGTACCTAGAAGATTTTGATAAGGGAAGTGGGCCAATTAGGTCAATGTGGACATGGGAAAAACGTTCTGTAGGTGTATGAAAATCACCAAGGGGAGTAGAAACATGTCTAGTTATCTTAGATCTTTGGCATGAGAGGCAAAATTGATTCCATTTGTGGCAATCCTTACGAATGGAAGGCCAGACAAAACGATCGCAGATAAGTTTTGTTGTGGCACGTATTCCAAGATGACTCAGCTTGTGGAACTGGTCGAAAACTCTACGTCGCAGTTCTGATGGCACAAAGGGTCTAGGAGTTCCTGTTGAGGTGTCACAGATAAGGCTCAAATGGGTTCCAGGAATTGGAACTTTCTCCAATCTAAGAGATGTAGTACTTTCTGAAATGAGATTTTGAAGTTCTTCGTCTGACTCTTGCGACTTGGCTATGGATTCATGATCTAAAACATTTGAAATGGCTTCAACACGTGTCAAAGCATCAGCAACTATATTTTGTGAGCTACTGATGTGCTTTATGTCTGTCGAAAACTCAGAGATAAATTAAAGTTGGCGTAACTGGGCTGGAGACAACTTGTCACGGCGCTGTTGAAAGGCATAAATAAGTGGTTTATGATCTGTGAATATAGTGAAAGAAGTTGTTTCCAAGAGATGACGGAAATGCTGCACAGCTTCATAAATAGCGAGGAGTTCTCTGTAGTATGCAGGCCAGACGCACTGTTTGGATGATAGTTTCTTGGAGAAAAAACCTAGAGGTTGCCAAGAGTCATCGACAAACTGTTGGAGGCAAGCACCTACACTTACTCCAGAGGCGTCAGTAAAGAGACCAAGAGGAGCATCAGGTTTAGGATGAAACAATAGTGTTGCTGATGATAAGCTAGCCTTGCATGCTTGGAAAGCTTCTTCTGTCTCTGGAGTCCAGGGCACAGGAAGGGAACCTATTGAATCAGCGTCACTAAGTAGGGAGTGCAGAGGTGCTTGAAATTCAGCGGCCTTAGGCAGAAACCTACGATAAAAGTTCATAATTCCCAAGAATCTGCGAAGACCACGCATTGTCTGAGGTAACTGGTAGTCTTGTAGAGTAGTGACTCTCTCCTGAGGTGGACGTGTCCCAGCAGATGAGACTAAATAACCTAGAAATTTAACTTCTGGTACACCAATTACACATTTAGACGGATTTACAACTACTCCATAGTCAGAAAGTCGTTCAAACAACATTCTTAGGTGTTCTTTATGTATTTCTTCAGACTGGGAAAATACTAAAATGTCGTCAATATATGCATAACAAAAGTCAAGGCCGTGAATAACTTCATCTATGAATCTTTGAAATGTTTGACCCGCGTGGCGCAAGCCAAAAGTCATGAATGGAAATTCAAACAACCCAAATGGAGTGGTGATTGCTGTTTTTTGGATGTCATCCTCGTGGACGGGAATTTGGTGGTAAGCCTTGGTCAAATCAATGGCAGAGAAATGTGTACAGCCTGCTAAATTGAACGAGAAATCCTGAATATGTGGTACAGGGTATCTGTCAGGAACAGTACGAGCATTTAAAGCGCGGTAATCACCGCAAGGACGCCATCCATTTTCCCCTTTAGGCACCATGTGCAAAGGAGAGGACCAGGGGCTTTCAGAGGGTCGAGCAATACCAATAGCTTAACCATCTCCTCAAATTCTTTCCGGGCAGCTTTCAGTTTTTGAGGATGTAAGCGACGTGGTCGACAGTGAACAGGAGGACCAGGTGTAACATTTATATGATGAACTGTTTTATGTTTCACAGCACGAGGTAAGCCTGGAGGACGAATAATATCAGGGAATTCAGAAAAAACTTCTGCCAATGGCGAGGAGAAAGATATAACTTTAATACTAGTTTGATTGTTGTTAGAAACTATTCCCTCGGCATTCAATCCCGTTTTCTTGTCAACCAAACATTTCATCTTGCAATCGGGTAATAAGTGATAGTGTGAAAGGAAGTCTGAACCTAATATAGGTATTGAAACATCCGCTACCACTAGACTCCAAGGGAAATTACGTCTAAGGCCTAAATTAAGGGTGAGAGGCATTGTACCATAAGTCTTTATTTCACTGTTATTGGCAGCACTTAGTGAATAGCTAGTAGGAAAACGTTTATATTTGATAAGGCGTTTAGGATAACACGACACATCAGACCCGGTGTCGATAAAGAACCTAGTTCGTGAATTTCTGTCCATCACAAAGAGACGGCCGCCAGCATTTGAACAATCCGTTGCGGCCTCTACGGATTGTTGCTGAGGTTTCCCTGAAAAGAGCATGGAGAAAGACATTTGGTACCATTGTTTTTGAATTTTCTATGGTACCAGCACCAGTTCTTAGAGGGATTAGGCTCGTTTCCTGATCTACCACGAGACTGGGAACGACCCCTAGGTCTCACCTGTGTATCTCGTACTCTGGTTTCTGATAATGCTTGAACTTGTTTAGAGAGGGATTCTATTGCATTTAATAAAGAAGCGTAACCTGAAAAGACTTTACAAATACCAGGTTTTGAAGGAATGTCAGCCACCTCCATGATCTTATCAGCCAGTTCTGCCAGTTTGTCCAAGGAGAGCTCAAGTTGCGTAGTCAATATGGCTTGTGGATGAGGAGGGAGTCGTCTGAGCCACAGTTGACGAAGCATGTTGTCTTGAAGGGGAGTCGAGCCCACAAGAGACCTAAGATGCCTCAAAAACTGAGAAGGCTCTCCAAGGTCCTCTTCACTCAGCAGCCGCCGAACACGTTGCTCTTCGGATGCAGAGAGGCGTTCAATCAGTTTCTTTTTTAGATGTTCGTATTTGTCGCCTTGAGGAGGGTTTATTATGATGTCTTCGACTTCAGCAGCAATCCCTGTGTCCAATTGCGAGACCACGTAGTGAAACTTGGTGTCGTCGTTGGTAATTCCAGATATAAGAAATTGCGAGTCAACTTGACAGAACCACAGACTTGGTCTTTCAGGCCAAAAGGGCAGAAGTTTGACGGCTACTCTGTTGACCAACATGTTTTGAGCAGTGCTGGGTTGTCCAATCCGATGACGCAGTTCTTCATTCGCAGTTCTAAGTTCGGCGAGTTAAGTCTGCAGGTCTTCTAAAGACATCGTTCGTTGGAGGAAACACAAAAGATTTAAACTCTTCAAAGAAAATAAGTCTTTAGATAACGGTTTTAGTCGGGGTCACCATTTTGGTCGTGGTTGTTTGTGTATATAAAATGAAATACGACCAAATAAGTAAAAGAAAAGTAGTTTAATAAAAGAGTTAAATTTTGTGTACATTCATGTAGAAAACAAAAATCAGACTAAATCAAATCATAATTGGTTGCTATGACAACGTCATCAGCTGACGCTACACCATCTTCACTCTTTCCACAGTGTTTAAAAGAATCTAAAAGTATACTTTTATACAAGAAGGGTGATCGAAATTGTATTGACAATTACAGAACAATTACAATAGTATCAGTGTTTTCAAAAATTGTAGAAACTTGTGTTAAGAAACCATTGTTGGATTTTTTTGATAAGTATGAAATACTTTCAGGTAGCCAATTTGGTTTTCGTCCAGGTTATTCTACAGTGAAGGTTCTAGATAGTGCTGTGACCAAAATTTTAAACAGCTTTGAAGCCCATGAATTTGTAGGAGTGACCCTGTTGGATCTCAGCAAGGTTTTTGACCGAATTTCTCATAGCGTTATTTTAAATAAGCTTCAATATTATGGAATAAATAATGAACAGTTACATTTTTTCAAAACATACCTTTGTGGTACCTAGGTTACATATGGTGTCTGTAGGGAACTGCTCATCTTCTTTTAAAGAGGTTCTTGCTGGGGTCCCACAGGGTTTAGTACTGGGCCCTTTGTTATTCATATTGTATATTAATGACCTCCCTGTTAATTTAGATTGTAATACCATACTATATGCGGACGACACATCTGTGCTAGTCAACGGGAATTGTCTGAATGATGTTAAAAACCATATTAATAGAGCAACTGTTGCTGCCAATCTGTGGTTTGATTCTAACTATTTAAAGATAAATGAAAGTAAAACTGAAACAATAATATTTACTTTGAGACAAATTGAACAATATAACATGGCTAAGTCTGTAAAGCTTCTTGGTATTAGCCTACTCTTGACCAGAAACTAATATGGGAGGAACATACCAACAACTTAGCTAATCGATTATCTAGGGTTTGTTTTTTATTGAGAAAACTTAAGACTTGTGTAAGTCAGGAGCTAATGAAAACTTCGTATTTCAGTTTCTTCCATTCACATTTGTTATTTGCTAATATGTTGTGGGGAGGTAGTGCTGGAGCAGATAGAGTATTTTTGTGGCAAAAGAGAGCAATAAGAATCATGTTTGGTTTAGAGTTTAGGGATAGCGGTAGGAGTCATTTCTCTGCACATAATGTTATGACTGTACCATTCATTTTTATTTTTCAGAATTTAATTTATGTCAAGGAAAATATTACAGACTTTTATTGTTTTAGTGACATTCAAAATTATCAAACAAGAAATTCAAACAAATTAGTTTTACCAATCCCAAGACTAGAAAAGTATGCAAAGAGAAACAAATATCAACAAATAAAATTTTTTAACAAAATTCCAGAATCATATAAGTTGTTAGATTTAAAATAAGATTTATGATTGGCTTATTAGTCACAAATTTTTTTCTCTTAAGGAATTTTTAGAATGTGATATAAGTACAGTGTAAACTAAGTGTTGGGTCCTTTATTTACTATGAGTATTCGAATGTCTTGTTGTTGTTGTTGTTGTAAACGTTTTATTGTCTTGTTTACTTATTTTGTTGTTACTATTTTTAATCTATATTGATTTTATTTTATTGTTATTATTATTATCTTGGTACTGTCTTTCGATGAATAACTGATGAAGCCTTACTTAATGGTGAATAAACTTCTTGATTCTTGAATAATTAGAATGAGAAAATCAATTGACGAAATTCGACCATAGAATTTAGATTTTTTTTAACACTACCGCTGGTCACTTTCCTATCAAAACTCCAGGAAGGCAGCAACAAGGCGATGCGGAGGAGGCAGGCTTGGAAAGGTCACCGATAAATGATGGTGCGGACCTGGCAGCAAGGAAGGCGGCGGAGGTGGCTCAGTGTGCCGAAGACCTTGAAAGGGCCAATCGGGAAGCCAGGGTGGCTGAAGATGAGCTCAGGCACCTTCAACGAGAGGAGGTAAGATCTAGGACGTGTCAGAAGGGTCTGGCCACTGTGTCCAGCCAGTCTTGTTTGAGCGAGAGCTCCAACTCCAAGAGGAAGAGGACCAATGAGGATGAATCCTTAGAGGACCTTAGATACAGTGGAGGGTCAGATGATCAGACATCCTTCGAGGGAGCGGCAAGAGAAATAGTGGGTCACTGTGACAAACTATCTGCACCAAAGAAAGTGGCCGTACTTGAAAAATTGAACATCATGTCTGTCATCATGTCTCGCCAGGCTAATGAGATTGCGTACCTGCGCGGTTTAGTGGATGGAAGAGCATCGGTGGAGGCAGAACTGAAGAAGTTGATGGGGTCGCTATTTGTAGGCTGACCAGCAAGGCAAGATCCTTTGCCGAAGAAACCAGGAATAACCCAGCTGCAAGTGCTAGTGCCATTGTTATCAGGCCTAGGGCCGATGAGCAGGGCAGGCCTGAGATGTCGTCTGAGGACACCAGGAGGTGGTTGCCGCCTTGAACCCAAGGGAAGACAAGATCTAAATTTTGAGAGTTAGATCCGGTAGAGAGGGTTCTATAATTGTTGAAGCGGGTGACAAGAGTAGCGCCAACAAAATTCTGAACAGTAAAGCCATTTCGTCAGCGGGCCTCACGTCAAGAAAACCTGTGGGCAGGAAGCCGAAGTTACTTATCTATGACATCCCAAACGAGGATGGCAATGTGCAATGTAGGGTGTCTACTACATTCTGGAAAAAAAATTCATGGACAATTCCCGTACATTTAAGGACACTTTGTCGTAACCTTTGTCGGTGTGATTACCAAATAATTTTCCTAATTTTTCAAAATGTATTAATCTTGTTCTTCACGGTAATTGTACCAGAGAGAAAAGTAAATAATAATAGACAAGAGCCAAATTTCAAAATATAAATTTTTTGAAAGTAAATAAACATATACTTTAGGTAAAGCTTTTATAGTGTAACAGAGAAACGCAATAATTTTGTCTCCTGCGATAGCGACAAAATACTGAATATCTCCATCGGTCACGGAAACATAGCTTATCTGATCCAGGCAGATTAATTTGGTATGATTCGCCCTGGCACAACTTAGGTTCTCGACTACTTTTGAAAAAATAAGAATCTTTAATGCATATATTGTAACTCAGTTCTTGGTACGAAATCGGTATGGTAAGCGGCTACCAGTAAGCACAGAGTAACATTATTGTCTTTTCATTTGCAAAGTTAATATCGACACATAGCAATCATTAGTTTATCTTAGGGTCAATTACATTGTCTTAGTATATTTTACAGCTCTTTCAAAGAATCAAAATACCCAGGCCTAGACCTAATTATTTAGGAGGGCCTATAAACTGAGTAACAAACAATGAGGTTATAATAGCAGCAAAGTCACTATCATCATTCTAGTTCATAAGATTTAGATTGCTTAAAGCATCCAGCACAATGAATAAATATGGGAAACAAAAAACATTGAAACCTGAACAGCCAACAATATAAGACAAAGATACAGAAAATGCAATGACATAATTTGAAACCAAGTAGGCCTACGTAACGATAAAAAATGTATGCAAACAACAATGTTTGTGGTTTTGTCAATTGAAAGATAAAATATCCATAAAAAAGGGTTTCAATTACAAAATAAGACTGTAGATTAGTTAGATGTTTAATATGAAACCATTAACAGTTTTATGGCACTAGGCAATAGCCGGCAGCAAATTGAATCTTCGAGCCAAATTTAGAAATAAAAGTGATACAACTTGTATGAGCTAGCTACTGAGTCAACAGTTCTTGGAAGTACTTGACTTGACACTTGATTGTCGTGATAAAATATTAATGGGTTTAAGACTGCTAATGGGTTTTTTATTGCATAATTACTCTAGTAATAAATTATGAAAATGTAAACAAACATCTAATAAACCTTTTATGTGCTCCTAACCAACTAAATCGATAAAATTATGGCCCATTAAAAATTTAAGGACATAGTCTGGCATTTAAGGACAATTCCCGTACATTTCATGGCCAGTAAAAAATTAAGTACAATTCCCGGTTTTCCCGGTTGGTAGACACCCTGAATGTGGAAGGAGTCCTCAACGTTTTTCACCAGAATGTGGTTGGCATCGAATGGGAGCAGTTCAGAGAAGTTTTTGAAATTGTCAAAAAGCTCAAGTCCAGCAGGGAAGGTAAGGAGAATTGGGTCGTAGAGCTCAGCGTCCCCTGCTTCAGGGCACTGGCAGGGAAAGACAGGCTATTTGTGGGGTTTGAGTCTTGCCGAGTAAAGGAATACACGGAGGCAACCCGGTGCTACAAGTGCCAGAGTTATGGACATGTAGCAAAATACTGTACCGTGTCAGCCCCAACTTGCAGTCACTGTGCTGAGGGACATGAGTATAGAGAGTGCCCTAACAAGGGTCTGAGCCCGACATGTGCGCCCTGCAAGAGGGCAAAGCGTCCACACGACCATAGTATTACAGCAATGCTTTTCCCGCTTACGTGAGAGCTCTGGAGGAGAGCAGAAGAAGGACCGAGTATGGAAACTAATCCTGCATCCCCTGAGCCCGGTCAACCACTCATCAGATTGACCCTCAGTCCTGAAGTTGTTGAAGAGGCGTATTCCATCTCTTGGGCCCCCTGTAGGTGCAAATTTTGCTCGAGCTGTCATCAAAGGCCGGGCCCGCTCATAAAACATCATCGAGCAATGCACAGAGATAGACCGATCTCGTTTAAATGTTCAGGATGCCAGAGGATATTTTAATGGGCCACATGCGGCTGCATATCATACTCCTTCCTCAATGCTCTGGAGAGGCCCCAACACGGAAACCATTTCCCTGCCATTTGTGCGAGGCCCAGTTTGATTCGGAGCCGAGGCCAGCACATCCGTCACAGACATCCTGACGTCCGCTTCCAGCATCACGAGGATGGGGCATTGGATGTCAGGGGACCTGGAAGAGGTCAACGTGGGGGCTGTTTGGGGCAAGGATGAAGTGAACATTCTAATCCAGAACAAACATCTGATAAGGGGTGTCAGATACACCGCCAATTTCTCTGACCTACTTCCCTTGAAGACTCCAGCCCAAATTAAATAAAAGCCAAATTATGCCAAATTGTGGCTGCTCTTGTCCAGTGGAATCCTGGTTAAGCATGAAGGAGGAGTTTCCGCTTATGGAGAAGAAGCTGACATTGAGGAGGCGAATGTTCAGCCACAGAGGGTCGAGGAAATTATGGAAAAAGTTCTTGAGACAGTTACAGATGTTCCAGGTGGCCCAACGGAGGATGTGGCAGAGTGCGGTAACATCTGGGACATGAGGGCTCATGCCTTGGAGCGTGCTAACAGACCTACAGGCGGTGGTAGGACTAGGAAGAAAGGTCCTGTGTCTAGAAAGAGGAGGGAGTATGCTGAGGCGCAAGAGCTATTCAAAAGCGACCCAGCCAGATTGGCGGGGATGGTCAGAGCCGGGAATATTAATTTTGGTCACCAACAACGTGAAGTTGACCCACCAAAATATGCACTTGAAAAGGTATATACGGAACTCTGGGGCAGAGAACATAGGGCTCTACCTGAAGATGTGGCACTGGAGGGAGACATATTTTTGTTGAAGCCCGTGTCGGCCTCTGAGATAAAGAGACGTCTAAAAAAATGAAGCCGAAGGGGGCTCCGGGTCCTGACGGGCTAAGGAAGGAGAATCTGGCT